GAGGTTAAGAGAAAGCAAGCTTATCTCTTCAGTTTGAAAACAAGATCTGCCTTCAGATCCTTCTCTGCAATGCAGTGTTCAGCCTGAACTATAAAACTGTCATTGTAATGATGTCAACCTCACTGTATTTTGTTGTACTTAGAAGACATGAGGTATGTCAAGCGTCAACACCATGTCAGGCATAGGGCTATTGAGTAGAGGGAGCCTAAGACTGGTGACAGTGGACTTAGGGCAGTGGGGGGGGGGCTGCCATCAGGGGAATGTCATGCTGGATGTGGCACCCTTCCTTCCAAAGCTTTGCACCCTCCCCCAGCATCAGATGAATGCACAGTACCAGGCTGAAGGCATCATGGACACCACGTCATGGAAAAGGCACTCTTGGCCTCTCAGGACAGGCCACCTGTTCTGGGAAAGGGAATGAGTGTCAGCCATCACCCGAGAGTGCTAGTTTCTCATGCACATGAATGCAAGCTCCGGAGCCCACAGAGAAGGCTGCCTTCCCTCCCTACAAAGGCAGAATTTGGATGGAGCAGACCACAGGGTGGTGGCCTCTGTGGACCTTGTCAGACGAAGGGGACCAAGTGCCATGTGTTCCTCCAAAAGACGACAGTGACAAAACTGCCCTGCACTGCGGTGAGGAATGTGACCACCTCAGTGACAGTTACTGTGGCTCAACCGACTTGCTTTGCTTCACTCACTGGTCATTCTCCCGCCTCAGCATGGTGGTAGTTTTCTTTAGTGGGGGGGATTTTTTCTTCCCCATGTGTATGTATGTACATGCATGTGTGGGTTCAGGGGGTGTGTGTTCACCCATGCATGCACATGTGGAGGCCAGAGGCTGATGCTGAGTGTCTTCCTACATTGCTATCCACCTTAATATTTGAGATGAGGTCTCTCCATGAACCTGGCCATTTTAGCTAGACCAGCAGGCTGGTCAACCCCAGGGATAAACTTCTCTTTCCCTTCACCCCAGAATGGAGATTACAGGTGTACCCTGCTGTGCCTGACTTTATGTGGGCGCTAGAGATCCAAACACAGGCACTTAGGCTTGGGTGGCAAGTACTTTACACACTGAGCCATCCATCACCTGCCCACCCCCCAGCCCAAGGTGGCAGTGTTCTTCGTGTGGCTGGGTGAGAAGGGGACCTCACCGGGTGGAGGTCTGAGTTCCGTAGACCATCCTCTATACTGTGGTTGGTGTGCGGGTGTGACAGGGCTGTCCTGTCTGTGGCTGCCTGCTCTGTAGAGGAAGGTAAGAACACACTTTCCTATCCCCACCCAACACAGGACATAGGAGGAAGCCCTAGAATCTCCAGTACTTCCTGCTGTCTTCAGTGCCGAGCAGGCCTCCGGGAGATAAAGTGGCCTGGGCAGAGGCATTGCCTTGAGCCAGTGGCTCTCCTGGCAGCCTCTGAACCCAGGTCCACTGCTCTGCCAGATGGTCCCGCTTGCTGGGTGACACAGCATCAGCTTACAGAGCAACCCGACTGACTCTTGGCTCTCTGTCCTCTGACCTGCCCCTTGGCAAGACGGGTGGGCAGACACTGTGCTTCAGTCCCACTCAAGTTTCCCCTGGCTCCTCCCTAGAGGGCTTCATGGGACATGGGGGCAGCTATGGCTGTGGATTTAGCTTTTCAACAAGGAAGCTGAGTCTCAGAAATCCCAGAGCACGGCAGGAGCGGCATGGCTGACTCCCCGCGGTATGGCTGACTCCCCGCGGCATGGCTGACTCCCCGCCGCATGGCTGACTCCGCGTGGCATGGCTGACTCCGCGTGGCATGGCTGACTCCGCGTGGCATGGCTGACTCCCCGCGGCATGGCTGACTCCCCGCGGCATGGCTGACTCCCCGTGGCATGGCTGACTCCCCGCCCGGCTGCTCTCATGTCTTGCTGGGTTCTGACTTAGAGTTGCATGTGGCTGGCGTATTCCTTGGTTGGGCTGCAGGTGCCGGCTTCAGGTTGGAGACTAAGGGGCCTCTCCGAGCCACAGAACCTTTAGTTTCCTGTGTTCCAGTCCAAACACCTGCTCAATTGTTCATCAACAGCCTTTGTAGAGTAGACAGCTGGGACTCCAGACATCCCTCTCTGCCTAGTTCTGTATCTAGTTTGCCAACAGCTCTGCCTGATGTAGACTCTGAGTTTGTTGTTCTGGGTCCCAGGGATTCACACTGGTGTAAGAACTTATGCTCGTTCGGACTCCCCACTGTCCCATCATCACCTTCCAGAATAATCGCTCGTGGACGAGCTCCCCCACCCCCACCCCACCTGCGCGATTGAAGGGCGACTCCTGCAGTTGCCTCGTGTCCAGTGTCCGCTTCAACTGCCAAGGAAAACAAAAACAAACCAAGCAAACAAAAACAATGGGAAACTCGAGAGAGAGGGAAGACACTTTGAATAATTCAAGGGACCTGCTGGTGAGACAGGGCTCTTTGTGTGAACATTGATCTGCGCAGATATTTTTGCTGTCTCCAGCCAAGGCCAGACCAAATGGAGGAGGGTGTGGAGGGGAAAAAGAGGGGAGGGACGAGGCTGCAAGAGAATAAATAGCAAACAGGATGAGAAAAGAAAGCACATTCAGCAGAGGTCAGGGGACCCTCTCACCGCGATGGACTGTATCCCTTCAGTGTGTTAGCCAAAATAAAGCCTTCCTCCGGAAGCTGCTGTGTATAAAGTGTCTAACCAGAGCACAGAGAAAAGTGACTAATGTGCCCGATTGCCAGCAGCCAACCTGAGTGTGGACAACTCTTGAGTTGCTGCTGCCCAAGGTGCCCTGAGCTTGCTAGAGATTTATTGTCCTGTCAGTCCAAGTCTTAAATTTTCAAGCAAGTGAAAAAACACCAAGACTCAGACTAATACTGTGCCACAGAGAGGGCCATCTGTACGTGTGTGCAAGTCAGCAAAGTGCCCAGAGAGCTCTCGGTCCTCCACAGTGATGAACTCAAAGGAGGAAAAGGATGTGATGTTCTTTTGAAGCTTTCAAGCTATGAGAACAATCCCTTGGGCCTAGGGTCAACTTTCCGAATGGTATAGATAGGAAAAGAGATAATTAGAAGCCTTTTAAAATGTTTTCCAACATGTCATTATTAATGGCTCCGCACTAACATTTTACTATACTTGATGTATCCATATACATTCATAACAATCTACTCATTAACTGATTTTATTTTTTAATTCCATTTATTTATTTTGTGGGTCAGGGAGCATACCATGATGCCAATGTAGAGGTTAAAAAACAACTTATGGAAGTTCTCGTCTGCCACCGTGTGAATCTGGGGGATCAAACTCAAGTCTTGAGGCTTAGCAGCAAGTGCTTTTACTTGCTGAGCCGTCTCATAGGCCCAAATTTTATTATATTTAATTTTTCCCATTAACAGATATTAATTGTGCATATTAATATGGCTTGGCATGATAGTCCATATGTGTGTACTGTGTGCATGCAGTGTGTACTGATCAAAGCCCCCTCCCAGTCTCAAGTAATCAATACTCTAC